TGAGTGTTTTCAGCAGATACCCTTGTTAGATCATACATTGAACGGTTGAAGAAAATGTTTCATATGTTTGCTTGGTTCTGTTTGTGCTGGAGGTGTCCAACTGGTAAGTTTTAAAAGCATTTTATGGATTAATATCTCACATTTGTTTCAGAACAAAGTGACAAACTACTGCTATGGCTTAGATTAGACTATTTACACTTGTTATCGGAGATCAAATCAAACGTAAGATTTTATTTTGAGATATACTTTGGATTCAGGCCTATGGTTGTCAGTGAATTTTTAAATTGTAATGTTCATACCTGCAAAAGGCATGGAAATGTATTAAAATGTTACAAGTCATAGAGAATAATGGAAATGTCTATGAAGAAACTCGAACAGTGGATGCTCAGAAATTAAATCTTCATTGTGCCACTTTTAAAACTCAGGCCTTTTTTTGGTGATTTAAAATATATTAATATCATACAAAATGGACAAATGGAAATTCAGGCCCAGCATTAAAAATTATTGAATGACAACCAAAATTCATATTTACTTTCTACAACTGCAACTGATTTCATCTTTCGCAAACCATTAGTAGCCTTAATCTGCATAAAACCTGTTTATGTTTGTTTTCCAGACGTGTTTGGTGATGATGAAGTGAAGTCAGTGTCAGTGATGGAGGGAGATTCGATACTTCTACACTCTGATATCACTGAAATACATGAAGACGACGATATACTGTGGAAATTTGGAACTGAAAACTCTCTCATAGCTAAAATCAATAGAGAGAACCAAATCTTCTCCACATATGATGATGTTCCTGATGGGAGATTCAGAGACAGACTGAAACTGGACAATCAAACTGGATCTCTGACCATCACAAACACCAGAAACACAGACACTGGAGAATATAAACTTGATATCTTTGGAGCTGAACATTCATCAAAAACATTCAGTGTTTCTGTCTATGGTGAGTAGAGAGTGTATTTGTCCAAATGTTCACATATTATTGTTTTTTTTTAAAGGAATGTTCTGAGTTAAGCAAAAGTTAAAGAGATTCATCCCCAAAATTAAAATTCTATCATTAATTACTCTCTCTCTTGTCGTTCCAAACCTTGGAGTAAAACCTTCGTTTATCTTTGGAACACAAATGGAGATTTTTTTTTTATGAAATCTGAGAGGTTTCTGAACCACCCATAAGCTGCAACCTCATTACAACTTTCAAGGTTGTATAGTAAAGGCATCGTTAATATTGGTTCTTGCAGAAGCTCTAATGTGATGCGTAACATGAACCTCATTGGTTGAACCTCATTGGTTCTCGCATGTCAAATTAACATTCTTGAGTTTCCATTTACCATAACTGATGTGTGCGTTGATTAATGTTTATTTGAATTAAAGCTTAAATCAAATCTGTTCATCATATAAAGCGATCGAGACTCTTCAGATAATTTGGACTAAACCTCTCGATTCATATGGATTAGTTTTACAACCTCTTTATGAACTTATTGAAGCGTCAAAGTGGTAGACGTTTACTGTCAATGGAGGGACAGAAATCTCTCAGATTTCATTTGTGTTCTGAAGATGACCGAAAGTCTTACCGGTTTGAAACAACATGAGGGTGAGTGTAACTGTTGTAGGCCAGTGTGTGTAAACGTCACTCCCCTGGGGCCTCATTTATAAAACTTTGCGTAGGATTTGCGTACGCACAGAAATATTCGGATTTATAAAACCGTGCGCAGGCACATCCTACGCAGTTTTCCCTTAATAAATCACAATCAATTCTAAATGTAGCGCAGCTTTTGCGGCTTCATGTCACGCCCATTGTTGCCCATAAATAGTCCGTGAAACGCCCATAAGTTAATATTCATCGATTGCGAAATCATGGCAAACACAGAGGAAAACCAAGAAACGTAACTTCACTCAATGTGAAGAAGAAATTATCGTTGACGAGGTTGAAAAGAGGAGTAAAATGTTGTTTGGAGGGCACAGTGTGGGCATTACGTCATGTGCGTCAAATCAATACGCATTGTGATGGCATCATGGCATTTAATTACCATCCATTTGATTGCATCTAACAAGCTACAGATGTGTTATGAGGATGAATTGCATAACATGCCAATATTATTGCAGAAGATATTTCACTTTAATTTTTGCAAATATGTGTTAATTTGCATTTCTGTTGTAATTTTCGTTTGATTTTGTTTGTTTTACACTGCAGATCGATCAAACGGGTGTTCGTGTAGGCTGTTAATTGTAAAACTTGCTTTGTGAAGTCTTCATGTTATTTATGAGAGGCAGTATTGCCATTTCTTTTACACAACGGTCTACAGCAGGGGTCTCCAACCTTTTTTCATTTGAGAGCTACTTTTTAAAAATGAAAGTGGCCGAGAGCTACTCATGTAATACAATACTTAAATCTCTGAAATAATGTCTCATAACTCGCATATTAACAACTATCTAAACTGTTTTATACCTAAAAGGGTTTTTGTATGCCTATGTCACCCTTAAATGTCAGAGAAAAGAACAGAATCAGAGATTATTTTTTTTATAGAAAATTGTACTTTGCATATTATATTGTAAAAACACATAATTATAGTTGATTTTATAGTTCATCATGACTAGATATGAAATGGCATGATAATTTAATTTCATTAGTGACCAAAATGATCACGGTAATCACGGAATCCTGTTCAAAAAGTACTAATACTACACAATGAAATCAATTCACTAAGTTGTATGTCGAAAACCAGCAAATAACAAATAAATCCGCATCAATATGCACTTTTTGTTTACATAAACATTAAAATAATAACATTAAAAATTATGGCTAGATTTTAAAGGAGTGTCTTGCAACATGTTATCTAGCCTACTGTACAAGTATGTACAAGTTCAAATAAAGTTTTGACAAAAAATGTTTTATAAAAATATAAACCTCACATATTTCAGCCTTTAAATCATTTTTATAAAAAGAATGAGCCAAAAAAGATAAATTACTGACTTTTACAATGCACATTAGCTTATCTTTTATTATTAAGAGTAAAATTCGATCTGATTTTCCCGTGGCGTCTGTCGTTGCTATGCAACCATGCACTGCGCTCTCCACAATGACAAAGAAGTTTTAGTAGCTAATAGATTTCCACCACCGAAAAACACTTGCTGTAGCTCTGCTACAAGATTTATTTACGGAGAAGAGAAAAACACCCGTAGTGTTTGGGTGCACCCCCATCCTTCATGTTGACTGAGCTTTCAATGTTGTTATGGAAAGGGTGAAGCTGATTGGTTGACCTGCGGTACGTTTGCGGCATACTGAATAGTTGCATTTTTTTCATCTCGCTGCACCTGGAAAAAATAGCGCGTCGCTTTAATTATGAGCGCGCTTGCCTCGCACCTACATTTGAAATAACGAACTTGAGGACGCAAAAGACTCGATATGTGAACGGCTCCTTGACGAGCAACCTCCAATCAGGCCACGAGCTAACGTTACTGGTAGCTCGCGAGCGACGTTTGGACCCCTGAACTAGAGTAAGTCAGAGTTCACCTAAACTTATCTAAACTCATGTATAATGAACAGAAGATATTGTCATTTTTAAATATAAATATATAATTATATATTCTATATAAATGCAACAGGTGTGATTGAAAAAGAATATCAACAGAATACAATTACATTTCAGACGCAGCTCACTACTGAGTTGTGCTATTTTTTGACCAGGCCTGCGGGCGACTCATGTGGTCCCTGGGGGCGACCTGGTGCCCGCGGGCACCGTGTTGGTGACCCCTGGTCTACAGTTTCACACACTTTCACGTGTTTCTTCCATCTGCCGACGGTGTTGCCATTTCTCATTTCACCCGTTTTTGTGCGTACGCCTGGGTCAGAGTTTGCGTGAAGGACCGCACATTTTACCGTCAAGTTTGCTTTTTATAAATACCAATTATTGCTCAGAGAGCGGCGTACGGCGTCTTTTGTGCGTACGCAACGTTTATAAATGAGGCCCCTGATCTCGAGGTACACTAGCGACTGGCTCTGGAGGCTGTAGTCTTTATGCTTCTTGTTAGAGCGCCCGACTCCCACACCAGAGACTACAGCTCGAAGCCCACTCAGAGCAGGTTGAGTAGAACCGGTTACATGAGCAACCGTATGAGTACGAGTATTTTTGACGCGTAAGACACTTCAACTCCTAATAGAAGCAAAAAAAAGGTGGCTTTGGTCTTTGTTTCTATACCTTAACTAACCATTTAAGCTCCATTCACTCTGATCACATTTATGGCACAGGGTTGATTACCAGAAAAATGTCAAATGTCAAAGCAAAAAGATAAATATAACTTTACACATAAAAGGATAGTGTGTGATTTTTTGTTTTCACATTAAACTCATGCTAACACTCATATTGTACACGCCTTGTCACTGTACTACTGAAACGGTGAGTATTTTAACGTTTGCGGATCGGCCCCGTTCACTGTCATTGTGAGTCTCAATGTAACCCAGATTTCTGCTGAAAATAAATTGTGGTTCTGTTTATTCTCTCATATTTCCCAGCTCGTCTGCCTGTTCCTGTCATCATCAGAGATTGCACTTCATCATCATCATCATCTAACTGTTCATTGGTGTGTTCAGTGTTGAATGTGAGTCATGCGACTCTCTCCTGGTACGCAGGAATGAGTGTATTGTCCAGCATCAGTGTGTGTGATCTCAGCATCAGTCTCTCTCTACCTCTGGAGGTGGAATATCAGGATAAAAACACCTACAGCTGTGTGGTGAACAATCCCATCAGCAACCAGACCACACATCTGGACATCAACACACTCTGTCACACATGTGCAGGTACCACAGGACTGATGATATGTGTGTATTTACTGACCTGCTCTGTTTCCCAAAAGGATTGTAAGCCCAAGTTGATTGTGAAGACCATTGCCACTTCTTGTGTTCTCTGTGATCAACTTATCTCACAATGCTTTTGGAAACGCAGCCCTGATCTCTTTTGTTGTAGACTGACACATTCTTTAATGACGGTCTCTCTTTAGCCGTCACAGCACTGCTCCCACAGACTCTTTCACACTCTTCTTCAGTTCCTCCAGTCTCAGTGTCTCTGATAGTGTTGATCTCTGCTGGATCTCTGATGATTGTTGCTGTAGTCATGATCTTCTTCATCTGCAGGAAATGTAGAAAAACAGGTCAGGAATTTAATTATTAACTATGAATATTAATTAATTTGAATCAGATATACAAAATTCTATATAAGAATGCAAGCTCTGTTAGGGCTGGGCGATATATCGCACGATATTGTTATGCGCATCTCGTCAGTAAAGCCGGTTCCTTGATTAGTAGTAAATCACCTTCACCTGCTTTCAGATGGAGCGGCATTTACTCTACAGCACAAACTCCAGTGTTAAATTAACACTCAAGAGTGTTAAAGTTAATGAGATAATTAAGTGATTAATTTAGTGATGTTTGAGCATTATTGAAGACACCTGATGTTAACAAGCAGAATCATTGAAGGCGAAAATCACAAATTGTAAGCAACCGTTATGGCGATAAGTGTTAGCTTTAGTTGGGCTCTTAACCTTTATACATTCACATTAAATTTGTTTGTCGGCTGTTATTTGATTATAACAGTCAAATGAACAAAGAAAACTGTGATCTGATAGTGTTGGTTATGTTCTGGCATAATCATGCTGTGATCTGAAAATGAATCGTATTGAGACAGTTTGGTTTAACTTATTGGCAACAACTTTATGATTTTATAGCATATATGAGTATAGGTATGTTTCTTACAATCCAAAATATTTAATAAACATTTTTCTGATCAAAACATTTTCAAATAATTTTATTTTGAAACACAGACATCAATAATCAGCCTATGAATCTCAACAATGGTGACAATAATAAAGCATGTTGCAGTGGCTGTCACCAATCACAACTCATTAATGGCTCCCATCATGCATTGCGATATGAATAAATTATGATCTGAATTTTCTATGTAATTTACTTTTCCTAATTGAATATTCTGCTCATCACCATTGTTGAGATGCAGAGACTGAATCTTGAAGTCTGTGTGTGCCTAAAAGAGAGATTTTTTTTTTTTTTTAGAAAACAACTTTTAAGATATCATTTATACTATAGCTAAATTCTGGATAGTTATGCAGAATCACAGTTATGCTGTAACAAACAACATAGATCAAAAACATAAAGTTTAAATGATGATTGTCATAATATAACCAACACCATCAGATCACTTTTTTTCTTTGTTCATCTGGCAGTTATAACTCAGATAAAGCAGACAAACATAATTTAAAGTTAATAATATAAGGGTCAAGAGCCCAACTAAAGCAAACAATGATCGCTATAACGGTGGCTTACAATTTGAGATTTTCTCCTTCAGTGATTCTTCAGGTGTCTTCAATAATGCTCAATCATCACTAAAGTAATCACTTAATTATCTCATTAACTTCAACACTCTTGAGTGTGGACTTATATACACTCCCAGGAGTGTTAATTTAACACTGGAGTTTTTGCTGTGTACAAAGAGCCGTTGTTAACTGACAAGCTGAGCCATATCGCAGTAATTATCGCTGGCGATACGTCCGCGATATTGATGCGATATGGCTCAGCTTGTCAGTTAACTACGGCTCTTTGTAGTAAATGGCGCTCCATCTGAAAGCAGTTGAAGGCCATTTACTACTAATCAGGGAACCGGCTTTACTGACGAGATGCGCATAACAATATCGTGCGATATATCGCCCAGCCCTAAGCTCTGTTGTTTTGAACTCATCTGTGGTTACTGTTAATGCAGTTTGGACACAGGAGGGAGACAGACCTGATTCAAAATTGTGTAAACCAACGACACGAAAAACGGTAAGATCGTTCTTGACTGTGTTACAAGAAGTTGTTGCAGTCAGTTAGTCTGATTGAAGTTTACAGCATCATGCCATCTTGTCTCGGCCTCGACCACAATTGTACTTGGTCTTGTCTAAGTCTCAGACTTGTAGGACTCGGGATTTTGTTTCAAGACCGGTCAAGACCACAACTGCTGGGAAATTACTAAATTGCCGGTGCATTGTCTGATTTTTTTATTAACATCTGTAAGAGCCATTTTGTCTTCATTTTAAACTTGTCATGTAAGTGTGTGTCCAGTAGGGGTCTCTCTTGGTAATTGGCTACAGAATATAGGTGGGAACCTTCCTTCAGGTAACAGATGTTGCTGGAGGGAAGGTGCACACAGTTTTGTTGACCGCTACGTTACGCTATGCAAGTAGGAAATCTGTACTAGTGAATGACTTGGAACTGTGGATTTATTGACTGTTTGCTGGATTCTTGCTTACTTGAAATGAAGACCAGTCAGTCACGGTAAAATAAATCTACTATGTAAGCATATTAACTTGTGTGTGGATATTTCACATTTACATTTACATTTACATTTAGTCATTTAGCAGACGCTTTTATCCAAAGCGACTTACAACTGAGGACTAAACCAAGCGAGTCATCGTGAAGAGGCAAAAGCAACGCAAGAAGTGCTCAAAATACAAAGTTCAGACATAGCTCGGAGTAGCATAAGCCAGGCAAGCGAGGATTTAGAGGAAAGGATTTATTTTTTATTTTTTTTATGTTAAGTGCTCCCGGAAGAGATGAGTTTTTAGTTGTCTTTTGAATGTTGTCAGGGATTCTGCATTCCGGATGAGAGTGGGGAGATCATTCCACCAGCATGGAACCGTGAATGAGAATGTTCTGGAGAGTGATTTTGTGCCCCGCTGTGATGGTACCACGAGCCGTCGCTCATTGACCGATCGTAGGCTTCTGGTAGGGATGTAGACTTGTAGTAGTGAGTGGAAGTAGGACGGAGCTGAACCTGTGGTCAATCTGTAAGCAAGCGTCAAAGCCTTGAACTTGATGCAGCAGCGAGTGGTAGCCAGTGCAGAGAGATGAACAGAGGAGTGACGTGGGCCCTTTTGGGCTCGTTGAAGACAAGACGAGCTGCAGCATTCTGGATCATTTGTAGAGGTTTAGTTGCACATGATGGAAGTCCAGCCAGAAGAGCATTGCAGTAATCAAGCCTAGAAATGACCAGGGCCTGGACGAGAAGTTGTGTTGCATGCTCAGTTAGGAAAGGCCTGATCTTCCTGATGTTGTGCATAGCAAACCTGCATGATCGAGCTGTCTTTGTAATGTGGTCTGTGAAGGTCAGCTGATCATCAAAGATTACTCCAAGATTTCTGACCGACCTTGATGGGGTGATTGAGGATGAATCTAGCTGGATAGTGAGGTCGTGCTGTAGAGACGGATTGGCAGGGAGGACGAGAAGCTCAGTCTTTGCCAGGTTGAGCTGCAGGTGATGTTTCAGTGAATAATAACCCGAGTGTGCGCGTTACAACCCATTAACAAGCAATGTCCAGCAGCCCCAGCTGCTTAAAGTAATAGACTTGGCTGCTTACAACATCATTAATGTGATTGGTAAAAAAACGTATTGCTTCAGATGCAATCAGTAACTTATTTCTAATTTGATTTATTTATTGTTCCAGTTCAGAAATTAATGAGGGATTGTGTCAAAATGTCACCAAAATTAATACGAATGCTCACAAAATGCAAGATATTGTTGCAAAAAAGTATTGATCTGGATTTTTATATTATAACATGTGATATAATTAAGCAATATCACAGTCTATAAACAGTATGCTGCAAATTTGAGCATGACTGCAAACATGATAATGCTTTTATACAAACATTCAATATTTAAAAAAAACAACTTTATTTTCAACATTATTTATGCATTTGTAATTTACCAATTCAGATGCATCTTCTGTACCACCTCTGCGGTGCAAAGATCAATTTTGTTGTTAATGATTTAATTTGATTGGTAACAGTTCTATATAGTGTCTTATTCTAATTATATTTATTGATTAAAAATAAGTTATTTCTCGGGTGGTAATGTGGATCTTTATGAATTTAAGGAGTGCTGGTCTGGTTTGGTCTTGTCCTGATCTCAACACACATTGGTCTTGGTCTCGACTTGGTTTTAGATTAGGTGGTCTTGACTACAACACTAGCTGTCTCAACAGTTGTTTGTGGTGTATCTGCTCAATCGCTGCCATTTTACTCAATAGAGGGGTGTAGTGCAGTGGTTTCCAACCTTTTTTTCCGGAAGAATCCTGTTTTAACATTCAAAATCCTTAACAAATGTGATGTATTACTTCTTGTGCTTCTGTGTTAATGCTACAGTTCTACATTTGTAAAATAATCAAGAGATATTCAAATAAATAATCAGTTAAATAAATATAAAATAAGATAAAAATTCTGTCTCAATTAATTTCAACTCTGAGTGAATTTGAAGCAAAATACTATCCACTAGCCACATCGCGGGTTCCTGAATGAGTTTGTGTTTCACTTTCAGAAATCAAAGATGGATGCTGTGTATGAAAATGTCCCAAAAAGACGGTGATCAAATACTGGATCTACTGGATCTGATGTAAGAGTTAACCACTGACTCGCACCTTTTGACCACGTTTATTTTCTATTAGAATATATCTGTTTTGTTTTCACTCTTTGTATCATATTTTTGTGTTATTGTGATGAGTGAAACTCAACTAAAACTACTTTAAGTTCATCGTATGGAAATGTACCTAACTTTCATTATTAAATATTAATCACACCCTTCACTGTGCTTCTGTGTCTGTCATTTACTGTTCTTGGTTTATTCTTTTTAGGACATTTAATTGGATAACTGCTTTGCATAACGATTGCAATATCACACACAATATGATCTGCTGGACATTTTGGCAAATGTAACACAAACACATCATTGCTCTCTAGCAGAGGCGTCAGACGGGGCAATAGTGGAACTGAGTAACAGCGGCCCTCGGCGAAGGGGGGCCCCATAAAGATATATTGATATATATTGTGGTGTTGTGATGGGCCCATCCCTTGGTTCTGTGACTGGTTTAGGATCCAAATGCACTGTTTTTAATGAAAGGGTAATCCACAATCGTAGTAAAAGACAGGCAAAAGGTCAGAGCACAATAAATCAGTCAAATCAAACAAACAAATCCGGAGTGTGAGACAGGGACCAGAAAACAGTAGGGATGGCTGACACGAAACTGACCTTCCGAGGCTTTTTGAGATCCCGAAGCGCAGATGTTTCGAAACACTGATCCGAAGCGTGATTCAAAACACCCATGTTGCGTGACTACGGCTAAATGAAGCTTCGGAGTGTTTCACAAGTGTCGACAGGTGGTATGGTCCGCCGAATCAGCGTTTGATTGACAGGGTCGGGAACAGACCAAACAATCGCACATCTGTATAAAAGTGAAGTCAACGCATCTTGACCTCGTGGGTTTTTGTGAGAGGAGTTTGATTTTGAGATAGCAGATTTTTGGTGATATAGTGACATTTATAGTGCGATTTGTTTAGTTATATTTAGGCTTACATTTAAATTTACACATTGACTGATAGGCTAGAGACATATAGTGACACATAGATGCATAGATAGAAATATATAGACAGATAGATACATTACATATAGATACATATATAGGATACATAGATTGATTAAAATAGATAGATAAATAAAAATTGAGGCTCCACAGAAGAAAGTATAAACGTTCATAACATAACTTTGTTTATGAAGGTTTCCAAATAATGAACCAGTAGGCTACTTTTACAGTTCTACAGTAGGCAACTGTTGTACTGGGTGTAAGGAGGTTTTTCCAAACCCACACAGCCCAGCATCTCATGGAGGCTAAAGCCTTGCTAATAGCTGAGTGGGGAATAAGCTCCAAAGGTTACAACTGCAACCATTCAAACTAGCAACAACAGAGATGTCAGAGGAACAGAGAGTGTCTGCTTTAAAGCTTATACCACTGTACAGGATGTTGCAGCACAAGCTAGCACAGAAAAAAGGACATACAATGCAGGAATCAACTGTACAATTAGGTAGGCCACAATGACCATACTACCCATGTAATTAGCCATAACTGTCATATTATTGTCATTATTATAATTAATATGGTTTTCTCCTGTTTTGGCTCATAGGCTCACATCTACAAGAAGGTCTACACTCCAGATGTGGAGGGTAAGAGACCTTCAGAGCCTTGGCACTGGCTACACTGCTGGACCCAAGGTTAAAAAATGTGGCATTTGGAAATCCTGCCAAAGTCCAGGACGCTGAAAAGCACATCACACTGGAGTGTGCTTCACTGATGCGTTCAAACACAACTCCTGGTGAGCAGTTTCAGGCTATGTTATGTTATGTAATCTGATTAATTATGTAATTTATACTTAATATATGCTGTCAGTTTAGGATTTGTTACTAATTGCTGTTTTCATTTTCATTCAGAGCCACAAATGTCAACATCAGGCCCATCATCATCAACATCAACACCAGTAGAAACACAGGACAGTTAATGGGAACTTTTTGATAATCGTATACGTGAAACACAGACAGTACACAATGCTACAGCTGATGACACAGTGGAAGTGAAAAAATACCTCAACGATGCGTTTTTGCCCAGAGCGCATGATCCCCTAACTTACTGGAAAGAGAGAGCAGTAATCTTTCCTCATTTGTATGTCCTTGCTAAAAAATATATTTGCATGCCAGCAACAAGTGTCCCTTGTGAGAGGATTTCAAAGGCTGGAGAAATTATCTGTAAAAAAAAGTAGGCTAAATTCTTTGACAGCAGAGAAATTAATATTTTTGAATAAAAAAGTGAGACATTGTGGCTTGATTTCTTTTATTGATATTCATTTTTCATGACCAAAATAACATAATGCACACAGGTTACAAGCTTCACATATTAGAAAAATACAATAATAAAAAAAAAAAAACATTTTTAATGGCTCGTTGTCAAGGTTGTTACAGATCAACACCTGCAAGTGACCACTAGGTGTCGCCGTTGAGACGGGTGTCGGATTGTTTCGAAGCCTCGACACAATATGGCACATTTGCTTCAACTGTTTCATTAGCTGTGTCCCAATGTGAAGGCTGTGTCCCAATGTGAAGGCTGCATCCTCCGAAGGCCGCGGACTTCGAAGGATGCAGCCTATTCGTCCTTCGAAGGACGCACGTAGCCATCGGATTTCCTAATTGCGCAACCAGGTGTTCCCGATTACCACTCCTGGCGCCAAGCAACGGTGCGAGAGTACAGCTGCCATCCTGATCATTCATTTGTTATAATTGAATAAACAGCTATGGATCCAGAATTGGCTATTGTCATTTTTTTGTTTTATAATTTACTGGAGGACATGGAGAGGATGTTTCAGTCAAGTATTTTCGGCTTTAATAGCCAAGATCATGGCCAGAGCTGGTTTGCTGCGTCCCAATTCAGAAGCTACTTCATGAATTGCCAGATTACACTTTAAACTGTTTAAAGGTGCATTGCGCAACAATTCATGTTAAAAATACCCGTTTTCTCACCCATACATGCATAAACAATTGCCTGATGGGCTGAATGAGCCCTTCTCTGATCACTGCAATTGCCTCTATAATCCTGTACAGTAAAATAAATAAGAGGGATTCGGGCTCGAATTTGAGACTGGGCGTGACGTCATGCGCGTTCACGCTCACCAGGCGAAGGCTGCGTCCGAAATCGCGTACTTCCATACTATATAGTATGCGAAAAACAGTACGCGAGCAGAGTAGTATGTCCGAAATCATAGAATTCGAAAAACAGTATGCGAAAAGTACCCGGATGACCTACTACTTCCGGCGAGATTCTGAAGTGCGCATACGATGGACACTTTGCTATCCCATGATGCCACGGGAGAGGAGTTGTCGCCGTTATATTTGAAAATGCCGGAAACCAGAGACGCGGGAGTTTTCAAGTGTAAGTACTATATAAAACACTTTTTGTTTATTTGTGGTTAAATTGTGTTTGTTTAACATCATATAAGTAAACGATTGACGTGTTAAACGTTTAAATAATGTAAATCGCGGGTACAATTTTCTGAATTGGCTGCAAAATGACACTTTTTATCATTATCATTGTTACCGAACAGAACGAGCTAATGCCTGTCAGCTAGCTAACTCTGTTTTCTTTAAACAAAGACGTTCGTTGTTTCGCAGTTTAATGAGATCGTTACACAACTTTTATTTTTTTTATTTTAAAACGATTTTACTTCTCCTTTACCAGTGTTGTTATTATGAAATATGTGTTGGCTACATAGCAAACTACTGTTAACAAGTGTAACTTACCTCAACTTGTCAATGTAACATTATAGATTGACCATAGTTCATCACATGTTAAATCCTGTGTTGATTTTGCAGGGGCAAAATGGTAAGATTAAGAATATGTAGATTGATCAATGGTAAGTTATTTGTAATTTAGATGTAAACATTTCTACTCAAGCTCTTACTGCATTTCTTTTATGCTTGATTTCTGTGAATTTATTGCAGAGTGTTTATCACAGAGCAGAGCCTAGAGGGCAAAACCTTAAACAAAAATATAAAGTAAGTTATTTTGGTAACACTTTACTTGAAGGGGTGTGCATAAGACTGACATGACACCTTTATAATCATGACATGACACATGTCATTAATATTAAGGTGGTTTTATGCATGTTTATGACAACTGTCACTAAGTGTCATTCGCTCAATTTTGACATTTTTTAATGCAAATATGACAGTTTGAAATGTCTTTGTCATGACAACTTGACATAAACCAATAGGCCCACATCATAACCTGTCAGTGTCAAGTTTGTCTCAAAAAATGTCATATTTATTTGCATTAAAAATGTAATAATTAAGCAAATGACACTTAATGAGTTGTCATAAACATGTGTCATGTCATTATTATGAAGGTGTCATGTCAGTCTTATGCACACCCCTTCAAGTAAAGTGTTACCATTATTTTTTATTATTTTTATAGTTCACCCCAAAATAAGAATTCTGTCATGGTTGAATCATGCTCATGTTTGGCCCTGTAATGCAATCTTTTAACGAATTATATGTTTTACAAGCAAATTCCAGGTATATCTGAAAAATATATTGTCTGACTATGAATGCCGCTCTGTAGAGAAATACCCACACACTTCAGACACCTTTAAAATGTATTTGCTTTATTTTTGTGTATTAACTTTTAAATGGATACAGAATACAAAGCTTAAAACAAAATCACATAACTTAGGCATAAAGTAGTATAATAGAGCTTAAAGCACCACCAAAAGGAAAAGTATTAAAACATTTTTATTATTGCCATAATGAGGAAAGACAATTAACTTTAGCAGCTTCAGTAAGGTAACTTTCACAGGTTTCTAAAAAGATCTAAAGGGACTTTGATAATAGCAATCTCATTTGTAGGGCATCACTTTAAAAATATTCAATATGGTTTTTTTTCAACGCATGTGTACAAGACGAGGCAAGGATACCCACCATCTCCAAGGATGCACTTTCCAGCAGGAGGAAACAGCCGGCCAGTGTACACAGGGCTGTTCTTCAGCACCCTGGCATCGTGTACCG